TATCGTCGTCTTATCGATGACGAAAAATGAGTTTCCATAGTTTCCTTACTAAAAAATATTCTTTTTGAGAGTTAATGCCTCTATTTTTTCAAAAATTGACTGCGATTGATAAGAATGTCGACCCTCTGATCATGCCATTTGAATTATTCCGCAGTTCATAAGATTCTCCATCAATATTCAATGAATTTGGCAACTGAAATCTAGATAATTACAACGCTTAGGCACTTTTTAGCAATCCTACTAGCATCTGGCAAGTATGGCTCGTCCACCATGCTACCAATTCATATTCCTCTATGAAACATTACTCATAATATATTCACTGATGGTCGAATCATATGACATATTAAAAGAGAGTTTAGCTTTTACTCTTGCAGAATGTAGGAAAATGCTAAAAAATGACAGTAAAGGGACTCTCTAGGTACTCCAGTGTATGGAATCATGGTAATTTCCTAATGGTATGTGTCTATGATCGTTATCTACTTGTCTAAAAAGTTTCATTACGATATCACCTACCTGAAGTGGTTCGCGCCAATTTTTCTAGCCCATTTATTGATTTGGGCTTTGCCCAATGGTGCGCACCATCACTTACTACGTCGGATCTTGATACAACCAACGTCATTCGATAGAACATGAAAAGTTATCCTAATTCAGGCTGTAAAATGACAACGGTAATAGATATCGAAGTGATCTAAATGATTTTTGAAACAAAAATTTATAATCCTGACAAATATATATATTAATCAATAATATATATATAAATCTTGATAAAGCACGAATCTCCTGTAAAATGAGAAATAGTCTAAGTATAACATTTCAGATCTGTTCGCTTCCTGCATTCTGACCATGGAACCAGGCTACTATATCAAAATTCAATACTGAACTGCAATCATCACTTGTTGGAGAAGTCTGCATTTCCGTTCCTGGGTGTGGTGCATCTTCATATTAGGATAATGCCCTTGTACACTAAGAAAAAGGATATCTCAGGAATTTAGCATTCCTGATGCTTCCCGTTTCCAATTTTCTGAAAGCAACAGGTCTTCCTACATCAGGATTCAATACAAAATTAAAATAGACGGTGGTCTGACAATTTCCACAGTCGGTTTCCTTAAGCAGCCTAACCTTGATATTAGGAAAATTCGCAAGTTTAGCAAGAAGACAGCAATGTATTGGATTTTTGCATATCAGATTGGTCCATTTGGGACTTTTCATGAAAGGATGAAGTCTTCCTATATCAGAATTGAATGCTGATTTATAATATTCAGTGGTGAGACAAGTCAGGTCTTGCGTCCCCCTTACGGCGCGCATGTTTAATTCAACGTAAATCACTGCTACAATGAAAAAAGTAGTTTTCTTTAGTTTAGCATTCCGGATCCGTGCCAACGGGACTTTTGTTGGTAATAAACAATATTCCATGTACCAGAATGTTTATTGGTTTTTTTCTGTGACAAATTCAATGTTTTTTGTATAAAGCTGAAGACGAGAATCATTAGGAGATTGTGAAGATTTTTCAATCTGAAGGGCACGTTGAAACATGGAAAGCGCCGTTGAATATTCTCCCATATTCTTTAGTGTTGAACCTATGTTGTTGTACGAGACACCCAAATTGGGGTGATTGGAAGGTAATGTTTTCTCATCTATTTCACGTGCTTGCTCATAATAAGAAAGTGCTTTTGAGTATTCCTTTATACTATGGTATAAGGTACCAACATTGCTATATATATTACTAAAGTCTACATGACCCGATTGTAGTGATCTGTGGTAGATTGAAAGTGTTTTTTCGTAATATGATAGTGCTTTACTGTATTCTTCCATATCATGATATACTAAACCAATATTATTGTAATTGATCGCTAACAATGGATCGTTTGGTGATAAACATAGCTCATCAATTTCAAGTGCTTTCTCATAATAAGAAAGTGCTGTTGAGTATTGAAGCATATGGTGATTTGCTGAGGCTATATTGTTGTAGCAAGTTGCCAATCGTGGATGACGTGGAGGCAATATTTGTTCAAAAATGTCAATAGCCTTTTGAAAAAACGAAACTGCTTTCGAATAATCGCCTTTCTTATCATATACTGAACCAACATTATTGTAATACATAGCAAAATCAGAACGATCTGGATAAGGATTTTTCTGTTTGATTTCAAGTGATCTTTCATAACATGAAAGAGCATGATCGTATTCACCTAAATCTTCCTTAATATATCCAAGTTGATGACAAAAATGTGCTAATTCAATGTCATTTGCTGTGTGTTTGAGTAATAAGTTGTATGTCTGCTCAGCATTATTATACATACCAAGTTTAATTAGCAGCTTACCCATTCGATCCCAACCAGATAATCCTCGAGTTTCCTCTCTCAAACGTTCAGTGAGAACATCAAGTTGAGGATCATCATCATTTGTGATAGTTAAATTCACTTCCCAGACATCTTTATGATCAATACCACTGCGTTTTATTGAAATTATGCGGAAAACAGAATGCATGGAGAAGAGAGTCTCATTTTCCACGTTGAAATGGCTAAAATCTTCAATATGAGCGAATGGTATTGATGAGTGCAATGGATCAATGTGCATTACGAAGAGGACAGCCACATAACCGGTGTTTCCAATTGCATGATAAGCAAATCCTAAAGCTACATTCCTCATCATGCTGGTGGATAAAAAGTTATTAAAAGACATTAAGCCACCTTTTGCTTTCATCAACCGACTAAAGTCTTCCGTTGTCAAAGCTTGACCACGGTAGGCAGTAAACGAATTTGAAGAATTGCCATTCATAAATTGTTCTCTGTGTAATTGAACGATTTGTTCATGAAGATCACGTAAAAAGAAACCCATCTTGATGATAGCATCCACTTCCAAAGTACGTAATGCTCGATTGAGCATACTATATACAAACGAATCGCGTGTATACCACCAAATGGCAGATTTAGAATGATAATTTTGTTGGAAATCGTCGACAATTTCCAATTGTGGATCATCGTTTGAGAATAGCTCACGACAAAACACCGCTAATTCATTCATAGAGGTTTTGTCGAATTGAAGTTCTAAGAGAATCTCTTTGAGTACTTTTGTGAACATGAATGATGGATCGAGTTGATCTAAGTTTTCAGTTAGAACATCGTCGTTAGCTGCGAGAAACCCTAGTGATAGACCATGTTCATCGTTCACTGGAATAGAACGAATTGTAGTAGAACTGTCTTCTGTTGGTGAGAAGATTTGTTTAAGTATTTCACATACCGAATTAATTTCCATGAAGACACCGATTATTTTTGGCCACATTTTTGTCCAGATTTCATGTCTTCGTACATTAACAGAAAGCACGTATATTGAATCAATCTGTGTCATGTCATGAACAAGAGGCATCAAGTATTCACCAGTAAAACCACTCACAATGAGCAATACCTTTTCGTTTGCGACTTGTGTTAAAAATCGAACGCATTTATCAGTATCCGTAAATATTTTACAATTATTCACAAGTTCTTTTAATTGAATGAGTGACTTATGATAATTGGCGTCTGATTCGCTAATGGTAGAGTCTAGCCAGACCAGAATAAATTTTTGTGTTCTCCGACTAGAACGTAATGGGACATTGATATCTGATGATGAGGAGACTGGTGGTAGACTTATTGATGGTCGTCTTCCGGTAGTTAAACGTCGAGTAGAATGATGCGCCGATTTTAATTCCTCTCTATCCATGGAGTAAATATGTGTGAATGTGAATCAATTAGATTGTGGATTTTTTTTTGTCGCAATATAATAACGAATAATACATCAGTAGTATTCGGTGAACCTGTATAGTTCTATTTGCATTGCATTGAGTTGTTTTTCTTCATTTTTTTATGATCAAAAGCAAAAAAAATTGTTCTTTATATTGACATTGAAGAAAAAACTGCACATAGAATCTTTTAAAGATGCTTGTATAGAAAAACAATAACCAATAAAAAAAGTAAAGAAAAAGAAACATCTGCCGACGTTTTTATTTTATCGTTCTTCTCGTCAACGTTTTTCTTCTATGTATTTATGTGAACAGTCTATCGATCAAAGTATATCCTCTCTATAGACGAATGAGTTAACAAAAGAAACAGAAAGCAATTATTTTTTTCCCTCTCTCAACGGTTCGCGGAGTAATTCTAGTTGCTTTTTATTATGAAATTGAATAAAGGGCGTGCTCTCACATACAGCATAATAAACGTTGATAAACAAAGTGTGCAGTTGCAGTTTTTTGTTTTGTTTCAATCATATCATATGAATGATTCCCATTAGAAAACGGTAAGGAAAATTGTAAAGACACCTACCAACAAATGCGTATCTGCGATTCACAAATAAAGCATAGAAACCTTTTTATTTCATGTAAAATATTGTTTCATTTTGTTCGAGAGAGTTAGTCGAGTACACCTATTCGCATATTTCCGAAGCTTTCAATGGGGAAAATCTGAACTCAAGTCTGTAAACTTCCAGTAGACACGGATCTCAGCCTAGATATTGTATCATGATTGGAAATTTTCTTATGAAAGTGGCCCAAATCTCAAATTTTTATGTTGCCCGATACGAAAGCAAGTTATGATTGTTATTCAGATCCTTGCTGAAGTCTGAAAATATGCTATTGAATAGAACCTTATTAAAGTTGGACTTTTACTCTCGATCACTTTGAGGTATGACAAAATTTTGATATACGACGTTTCATAAAATTTCACTTTCAGACAAGTTTGTGTGATGCGCGTCATAGGTTATTATGCAAGTGATGGGCAAATAGTAGCTGTCCGTTGTGAATGTACTGAAGATTTTCCTTTTCTTTTTGTTGAGATGTAGTTGAATTTTAACAATACCTAAGTACAGTAGTGTTAAGACTCGTACCTCGAGCTAATGTTTATTTGTTTTTATCTTTTTTCTTCTTCATATATGCACATATACGATATATATATTGTGAGAAATAGAGTGATATAGAGAGATCAAAGAAAGAAATACGAGGTAATAGAAAAAGAAGTACACAAACATATGTAACTGACCTATCCATTAACAAGTAGTGCATGACACAGGTCATCGAATGAAGTATGCCTTACCGATGATCTTATATGATTTAGTTTCTGAAGTAAGTCGATTTTGAATAGCAAGATTGAACCAATAAGCACTTTTTTTGACAAATATTTTGCTTAAGTCACATGATCTTCAATTTATTCTTGCATCAATCTATATTCTAGAGTACATATTATCAGAAGGTTTTCAGAATGGTGGCTTTGGCAACAGGATCTCGAAATGAAGTACGCATGATCTTACTTGGAAAAACTGGAGGAGGTATGTCAATAATCGATTACATCTATTTCACAACCCATAGTCTATTATTTATCAAAAGGTAAAAGTTCGTTTGGAAATACACTCATAGGGGCTAAAGAATTTACACCTGGTACATCACCAAATGGGGTCACTGAGCATTGCAAGTGTGCTAGTCGAGACTTTGACGACAAAAAATTATTCGTTGTTGACACACCTGGATTTCTTGATCCTCGTATTCATCGAGATGATATACAAGAGGAAGTCGCTAAAGCTTATCAAGTAACAGCATTACCTGGACCACATGCATTTTTACTCATTGTTGAACCAACACGATTTCTTTCGGAAGATGCCGAAGCAATTAATTATCTCAGTGATATATTTGGTCCAGACGCTATTAAAAATACGGTTATTATTTTCACTCATGACGACGCATTTGATCCATCAGAAGGTAAAACAATAGAAACTTATTTGCAAGAATTGACAAGCAAATCTCCTCTCAGAACAATACTTGATCAGTGTCAATGGCGCTACTTGTCAGTGAACAACAGAGGACAGGAATCAGAAAAGAGAAAAGTGATAGAAAAATTACTTGACATGATTGCATCGATAATTGCAAAGAATGGTGGCAAAGGGTACAGAACAACAAAATTTGATAAAGTTGCTAAAGTGAATGATGAGGAGAAATCTAAAGGAGATTATAATCCAATCAAACCTGATGGATCGATTATTTTGCATCCAAAGATCAAGGAAATTATTGTCGAAGACTTTCTACGCCGAACAGTTGGCCGAAAAGTTGTCCATTAATATTATACGACAAGAGTGTGAAAATTTGGATGCGTAATAGCTACCAAGACGCGTTTCGTCCCTGCTAAAGGACTCTTCAGTTTGGTTGATCTATTCAAGTTTAAATAAAAAAATTTTTACAAAATTTTAAAGAAAACTAAGTAGATAAATAAAAATCATTGTTATAAACAAAAATTTCATGTAAAATGAAACTTATTTATAATAGAATTAAATTTACTGGCAGCAGTGTGTAGAGTTGCCATGATATCGATATTTCACCTCAGCAACGAGACTTTTCAAATGGCACCCGTAATGATAGAAATTCCGAAGAATTAATTCGAAACAAAGGTAATTCTATACTGTTACTCGAAAGTAATGATAGAAAGATTTCACAGTAGTGTGATTTTTCTTAAATGATCACGAATATTTTCTAATCTTCTAACATCGGAGATAGAAAGAAAGAAAGAAAGAAATATTAGATATCGCAGTAGATTCAAGAATATACGATGTGTATAGAATTGAAATTATTAGTTAAGTCAAGCTATGCTTATGATGGGGTTCGATCTTGCTTAAGGATTCTGTCAGACGGTTTAGTTGTGTACACTGTTAGACTTAATGTTTCATGGCATTAGGCATAAAAATATAGAAAAATTGTCACCGACATTGGTGATATAGAGTACAAGAGCGAGTTTTCACTTGACTTTAAGTGTCATCGTCTGGTTAATGCTGCAAACGGTTGCAGTAGAATTCCATGTGATACGAATATCACACATATATGTGTCACGGTTCGAGGTATATATATTGAAAATGATTACCGAGAAAGAAATCGGTGAATGGGTAGTGGTCATTGACAACAACCAATCAAATTAAAGATATGGAAGTTAGACTGAGAATAGCTATTATAATCTACATTTCGTTTCTGATTACCTATACCTATCAGTGTTGGTGTCAGACGCTTATGATATAAATTAGAAAGCATACCACGACCGGCTTCGTCCTAGCTTAAGGGTGGTTGTGAATATATAAGCGATTATTTCAAGTTACTTGCGACTATTCTCTATCGAGGCTTAATTCGATCATCATAGGGTAGGTTATAAATCAGAATACTACATATATATGGCAACTTCAAAATTAGAACCAACCTTAATACTAAAATAACAAATAATTATCTAATCTGGATGACTTCGTAAAATCAAAGAATTCAAATTAATTATGAATTGATTTTAAAGGTTACGTTACATTCATTTATATACTATATTAATCTTCGATGAATTGATCCATTTTACTCAATGAATTATTCTGTTAATTTTTGAGAGTAAAAGTATATATTTTCATTTGATCTAGAAAATATATCGAACATTTGTTCTATCATCAATAACCATTGTGTTGATTAATATATTTTAGTTTAATCGTATATCTTTTAAAATAAGACCAATAAAATATAGTTCTAGTATCAGTTTGTAGTATTATAAAATGAATATTCATCTATTCTGATCGATTCCGCAAGCAAGGAAAGATATAGATCTAATTAAACAATACTAACACCCACCCACATGAGTTCCTTTAACTAAAAAGAACCAGATTCCTAATATCGACGTTTCTTTTAACTTATGAAAATTAAAAAAATGAATACATAAAAGATATCCATTGATGAACTACAATTCTCAATAATATCATAGATTAATTCGTACTAGCTTTTATCTTCATAATAGATTCTTTCACACTATTAAATCAAATATCTAACAAACTGATGCTTGAACTAAAGAATTCCAGATTTTTAAGAAACTAAATTCGAAAAATTTTCAAATCATTTAAATAAGATACAAACTAGTTATTTTAAT